TGTCCCTCAGCCCGGTCCCTCAGGGCTGACCCTCACCCCTGTCCCTCGTCCTTGTCGCTCATCCCAGTCCCTCAGGGCTGACCCTCCCTCCACACCCTCAGGCTCGCCCGACGGCGTCAGAGCCCTCAGCCCGCGGCCGGCGCTGCCGCTTCCGTGTGAGGCGCTGCCGAGGGTCGCCTTGCTCTGCCTGAGCTTACTGTTTTTCTACAGCGTTTTCTCTGGGTTTTAGTTGCTTATCTTCAGAGGAGGCCAGAAAACAACACCCTCTAAACTCCTATGCGGTGCAAAAACTCTCTATAAACTGAAATGTAAAACTTAATGGGGTTTTATTTTACAAGTGTTTTACTGGGGGCCATTAGGTTTCACAGTGCTAGGAATATGCTTTAAATTGTATAATAACAATGGACTAGAGGCTGCTTTAATGTCATCGCACGTGTAATTGATGTATCTCACAGAAGTAAAGACTAAATTGATCTATTAGTCAGCTGTGGTAGAAGCTGCGCTTGATTCTTATTAACATCTTTAATAGCTGCGTATGGTTAACTGTCAGATCAAAATAAATGTAGAGGGAATGTCTTGTATTATTTATACATCTAAATATGCAGTATTATTCATATGCCACTGAAGGCAATATGCACCAGTATCTAAATCTGATAAAATAGCAAGTAAAGCTGCATATAGTCTCTGTAGTATCCTCAATGTGCACAGTAATACACAAAGATTACAAATAGATTAATCAAAGAACAATTATGGCAAACTACCTATAACTAACATGCTAATACGTATTTCTTCTGTTTGTAATATCTGGTTTATAGTAATGTCTTTTTGATTTGTGATGTATTTTATGTATGAGGGAATTGGCTAAAGGTTTTAGATCTGTACCATGAAGTACAGAAAATAAGTATATTTTTGAACCATAATGCTATTTTTCACATAATAATTAAATTGGTTTTGTCTTCAAAGCTTTGTACCTTGCCATCGCCTTTGGCTGCAATGTATAAATATGCATTTTTTTATTAGTGTTTCATTTTCAGGAATTTAAAAAAAAATCCTTGTATTTGGATATATGTGTACTTTTAAATTCAGGAGTGAATTCAATATTTTTTCAGCACTAAAAAAAAGTAGAGAATACAACTTTTACTTCAAAAATGTAATCATTTGGGCCTTTAATCTGCAAAAACCAGTTGCATATTATGTATGTACCTGTGGATCTTCTAAATGCAATACAGCTGCTTGTATGTTTTAGGCTTGTGTCTGAAGTGATGCCAGTCACTGGGTCTGCAGAGTTCACAGAAACTGCCAAAATCACATAAAATTTGGATGTGTTTACGGCATTAATTAGTTTACTTTGCTTATCTAACTTCCATACAGCAAATTTGGAGTAATCAATACATCGTTGCCTGTTAAGACTCAGCAAAGAAATGAAAAGGAGTTTAGGTGACACCTCAACTCGCAGCACAGCAGGTACCAGCCCTTGTTTTGTGCTTTACCATTCACACCTCATTATCCTTTTATATATAATTATATTTTTTTATATATATACACATACATAAATATACATGCAGTATGCACACAGGATGTTCGGAATTCAGCCCTAGATCCCCATTTCCTGAGTAGACTTCAATGGGTTACCTGTTCATTGCAGCACAGGGCAAGATTTTGGAAGGATTCAAGGAACTGCCCACTCAGGGAAAGGTTTCCTTCACATGATTATGTGTAGGACAGAGGGCTGGGAATATGAGTTCTGTGAGGGAATGGTCTGTTATGTGTTTGTGAAATGAAATTCCTATGAGTGATGTAAAATAACTGTTAATTCATTTTATTTATTTATTTTAAGTGTAGATTGTGTATCCTTTTGCTATTAATATGATATTATTACTTGAATTTTAATTTTAGGTTGTCTGCCTGTACCGCTGTTCAATCAGAAAAAAAGAACTAGACAGCCCCTCACTTCAAATCCAATTAAAAGTGAGCCAGGTGCCGGTTCTGGGACTCGTACATATGACTTCTCTCCCACATCATTTGGTAAATAAGATATATTTTATTTTTTTAGAGGCTCTAAATCAAATAAATCTTAACTTCCTGATTGTATTCTAAGTAATCAGACATTGTCTTTATCAAGAACTTTATGCACCCTTTATATCTATTTCTGAAAAGTTCATTATGTAAAAATTGTCCTCCAGGAAACTTCTTTCTCCTCCATACAATTGAGCTTTTTATACTTTGTGCCTAGAGGGAGTTTGACTCTTTGTGTGTTGGAGAATGAAGTAGCACTGGCATTTAAATCGAGTCTCTTGAAACCGACCTTTTGTTTTCAGTTGATTTCAATCAACATTCAAGTCCTGTGTTACAAGAAGAAACATTTGTAAGATGTCTTTCTTGTAGTCCAGAAAGGAACTTCTGTTCTTCAGTTTGGGCTTGGAAAGAACAGTGTAGAGTTCTGCCTTTAGTGCTTTCATTATGGTCTACTTGTAATAAAGTTAAAAAG